TGTCCACTTAAAGAATTGTTATCTTGACTCTACTTAACTAGGCTGGGCAACCTGGAGCTTCCCAAGTGGTTTCCAATTAGCCCTACCTAATGGTGAGGGATGATGGGAGTTGCCATCCAACAACATCTCTAGAGGATCACAAGTTGCAATGACTGACACAGTGTAATCAATTTGAAGTGATTGTTTTGAAGTGTGCATGGTGTCAATTAACTCTTATCTGTGGGAGTTCTGCTGATTACAATTATGGTGAATGGATCACATGCCAAACTATGCCTTTTCAGACACTTGATACCAATCCCTGTATAAAATGTCCTGGCTAGCTTCACCTTTTGGGTGCCAGTTTACTTTGACAGGTTTGTGCAGAAGAAAGTCATTCCATGTTGATTTTACAGTATGGACAGAGGTATGAGTGACAGGAGTCCTTCAAGAAACTTGGATTCAAACAGGTTAGGGTTTTAAAGGCCAATAATAACAGTGTAACAAGGGGCCCAACTGAGATGGATGAATATTCACAGAGAACATGGTTCAGAATGTCCTTTCACCCTCTGTGAATCTTAGTCCCATACAGTACAGAGGGAGATCTACTATGAAGCTAATGAAGTTTAAGCTTCAAGGCCCCCAACTCCTGGAAGCAACTTTAGTTCACATTTTTTAAAAAACAATTCTGGTAATCTGTCATGTAACAACCCCACTGAAGAAGGTAACAGTGTTTACCCAGACCTTGTTTGCTGGTTACCAAGGGGCTTTTATAATAGTTCAAGCTTCAGGGCCGCCAAAATATAGGTCTGCCACAAGTCCCATACCGGCTACAAACTGCAACGCTTCCCAAGCAAACGTATTCTCCAAAATGAGAAAGCTGTATCTCACCTTCCTTCTGGCTTCTGCCCTTTGGAAGCTCTCATGCTGTATAAAAACGATTGCTGCAAGGACTCGGGGGGACACAGAGTTTTCAGTCTGCAATATATTTACTGCACGCTCCAGAGTCATCTCCTGTTCTTGATTCCTGCAGGGTTAAACATGGAACATATAGTAAGCCCAGAAATGCCACTGTGATCCATTGTCTTGTCCAGACTATACGTATATAACTCCCTCCAACAAGATAAAAAAGGAAGAATATTGTGGCACCTTAAAGACTAATAGATATACTGGCTGAAATCCTGTTGCTCAGCATAGTAAGTCACAACTAGAGTAGGTCCACTGAATCAGTCGAAAGGACAGAGAGGCTGACTCACCAAATCGCCACTAATTCAGAGGGCCTATTCTAGTCGTGATTTACTATGCTGAGCAACAGGATTTCAGGCAGTACACTTATTATAGTGCTTGCCAAACTTTTTTGAGTTATGGCTGCTTTTTATAGTAGCTGCAACCCCCCACACCATATTTGCATAAAAAGGAATTTTATTGGAGATAAACTCATCCCTTCTCAGAAAGTAGAGGCTTTGTTTTTTTTCCCCCAAAGGGGGAAACTTTGACACTAACTTTAATATCCTGCTCTAAAAGGTCAAGAAAGAAATGAGTTAACAAGGGCTACCACACATATGTGGTGACGCACAACCTCCCCGGAAAATGTTTTGTGACCCCCTTGGGCGTCCTGACCCCTGGCTGGAAAGACTGGTCTATTAGCCATACACTTTCAGCCACAAATTGAAATGTTCTACCTACCTACCTACTTACCTACTTACCTACTTACCTACTTACCTACTTACCTACTTACCTACCTATCTTCCTTCCTTCCTTCCTTCCTTCCTTCCTTCCTTCCTTCCTTCCTTCTACCTACCTACCTACCTACCTACCTACCTACCTACCTACCTACCTACCTACCTACCTACCTACCTACCTACCTACCTACCTACCTACCTACCTACCTACCTACCTACCTACCTACCTACCTACCTACCTACCTACCTACCTACCTACCTACCTACCTACCTACCTACCTACCTACCTACCTTTACACAACGCAGCTTGTGACACAGTTACAAAATGATGGTACAGGCTGACTGCATGTAATAACAGGACTCCCCCCCCTCAAGGATTGCTGGTTTCATGCTAATGCATTCAGTTAACAATTCAGAGAAGGTCTCATGCAGAGTGACTCGGGGAATGAAGGCTTCCTCTCTGTGTTGTTAAGTTGCTTGCAATTTATGGTGACTCTGTAAATTAATGACATCCCAAAGGTCCTATAATAGCCCTGCTCTGGCCTTGCAAACAAAGCGCTGCAGCTTCCTCAATTGAGTCAATTCAATAAAGTCATGGTTTCCTCTTTTCCTACTATCTTCAACATTTCCTGTCTACTGCCTCTTCCAGTATGTCTTGTTCTTATCTTCTCTTATTATCTCAAATGAACATTTTAAATGTTTTCCTGTCAGCCAATAAGAGACAGCTACCAATTGGTCAGCTTCTGAACACAGAAATAAAGTGTGTGGGTGGTGGTGGTGGTGGTGGTGAAAGGTGGTGTCATCCTGATTTCATCAGGTAGCAGAATGTCTTGGGCCTGTCCCTGCCACATAGGTGAGCAAGAGGAAGAAGTTGACCTATGGGATATGTCTTAAATAATGGCAAATTACTGTTTCAAACCAAGCAGCTCTTCTCAGTCCTATCCAGTTCCCCTATAATTCCTCAGCAGTAGCAAAAATCATGATATCAGCTCAGCTGCTTCTGTCTGTACTGAGTTACCTGGAATGCATCCCCTTTTAGCAAACACTGCAGTCAACTCAATAATTCAACCGTTATGTTCAGTTCTGTTCTTATGCTTGTCATAAGCCATTCACTTCACAGGACCTGTTCTCCCTGATATCATGAATAACCCCCTTCTGTCGTCCTGATACTGTATAGCTTAACAGCTGCAAACTTAATTCCTGGGCACGCAACATCATGCAGTCAAACTCAGGGGAATGGAATGAGTCAAAAGCTCACTGTGAAAACAATACAGTCAGAGTCTCAATCACTTCTGAAATGAACGTGTATCTCTGATTTTTGGAAGACAGTATACAATCTATAATACAGTATATAGGGGACGTGGTGGCGCTGCAGGTTAAACCGCAGAAGCCTCTGTGCTGCAGGGTCAGAAGACCAGCAGTCATAAGATCAAACCCACACGACAGAGTGAGCTCCCGTCGCTTGTACCAGCTCCTGCCAACCTAGCAGTTTGAAAGCATGTAAATGCGAGTAGATAAATAGGTACCACCACAGTGGGAAGATAACGGTGTTCCGTGTCTATTTGCGCTGGCCACGTGACCATGGAAACTGTCTACGGACAAACGCTGTCTCTACAGCTTGGAGACAGAGATGAGCACCACCCCCTAGAGTTGGACATGACTGAACTAAATGTCAAGGGGAACCTTTACCTTTACCTTTATACACAGCAGACACATAATAAGCCAAATTTCAGTGCTTCTGAAATTTACTTTAGGGACTGCAAAAGCCCAATGGCCACGATGACTGGGGGATTATGGGAGCTGTAATCCAAATAAGTAACTTTCCCTGATAATAACAGTGCACACGTATGTTAAAACTCACCCTAGTTGTGATCCAGTGGGGGCTATCTTCTGTTGTTCTAGAACTGTAGTCCAAATAAGTAACTTTTCCTGATAATAACAGTGCACACATATGTTAAAACTCACCCTAGTTGCGATCCAGTGGGGGCTATCTTCTGTTGTTCTACGAAACCATTTCCTGCAGCTGCGGCCATAGCTGCAGTCATTGTCATCCTCTTCCCACCTGCCTCAGCTGTGGTGCTAGTGACTGAAGTTGGTTGAGAAGCCTCTTTTGCGTTCTGAGACCTGAAGGTACTCTGATGCCAGCTGGACTTCAGAAACTGCTTGTTCTGTGGCCCTGCTTGGAAACTGACGGGATTTCGGACTTGTCCTGTGGCAGAACCAGAAGTCAGGTAACTCTCTTTCTCCATGAGGTTGTTCATGCTCCGACTGTTCCCAATTCGCTGGTAGATGGGCATCCCCGGGCTGTTGGGGGCACTGTCAACTGCAGTTTCATTAGCCGACCCAATGTAGAAATGTCTTTGCATACTGTAGCCTCTAGGGGGAGTGTGGTTGCTTGTGTAGCCAAGTATCTCAGAGCGAGCATATCTTGGGGCCATGACACTGGATCTCTTGCTTTCTCCATGCCTTATGGTCGGCCCCCTGTTGTACAGGATGTCGTTTTGGAAGAAAGCCAGCTTGTCATGACTGCCATCAGGTGAAATTTCTAATCTCTTCAATGGTTGCCTTTGAAACTTCTCTTCCATCGTCCTGTGGGCATTATACGATAGGATTCTAGGTCCCCAGCCATTTTCATAACTGCCTTGGGAGCCTATCTGTTTAGCAAACAAACAAGGACAAAACAAACAAAATTAATGTCCTGAAACATACATATATACATGGATGGAAACTGCATACTGTTGACTTAGGTCTTAAAATATCTAGAAGTATCCTATTAAAAACAAATTCAGAGTAGCACTCTGAATGTAAAGTTTGAATAACACTAGGGCGTTTTACAGAATGCTCTCCCCAGCCAAATATTTAATTCCGAATGTTTTTGGTTATGGGGAAATACATTTCAGATATTTTAAGAGGACATAAAATATATGTCCAGCAGTGTACAGTACTTCTTACTGAGACATGCATTTATGTCAGTAGAAATGTGTGAGCTGATTCCTATTTTCAGCACAGTCCTTGAGAACATGAAAGATACACTTTCTTCAATAAATAGGGCTCAGGGATTGATTCAGGCCTGGAAGCTCAAAAAGAGTTAATACGATATTGGCTGGATATGTCCCTATTTCTTGGAGACAAGCAGCCCTTTGGAGGATTTCAGCAGCAGCTTTGCAGAGAATATCAGCTGATCTAAAGCAGCAGCTCCTACCCTTAGGTCCCCAGATGTCCTTGGACTAAAACTCCCAGAACCTTTCACCTCTAGCTGTGCTCACCATGATTTTTGAGAGTTGTACTCCAAGATTGTAGTTCATCTGCACTCAGGATTTTTGGGAGTTGTACTCCAAGATTGTAGTTCATCTGTGGACCCAAGATTTGGAACCACCCAAGATTTGGGACCATTGATTTAGAGACATGATTAAGGCAGGCTTTTGTGACAAACTCTCCATAACAATGGTACTGTATTCCCAGTTGTGTATAGATATGAAAACTTTACAATGAAGAAAGCTAGTAAAAAAAAGGTCTCATTTGACACGTAGTATTGGTGGAGAGTTCTGTAGATACAGTCCACTGCCAGAAAAACAAATGAATGGGTTCTACATAAAATCAAGCTTGGACTCTTACCAGAAGCCACAATGGCTAAACTGAGCTTATCAAAATAAGTAGTATTAGTAACTGGAACTAGAAAAGATCCTTAAGTATAAGGATGTGCTGCTGGAAACCAAGGCCAAGAAGATCCATTTTATGATATTCCTGATTATGGTGCATAGATGTGGACATCAATAAAACCTAACAGGAAAAATTGATTATTTCAATATGTAGTGTTGGAAAAGAATGTTATGGATAGAACAGTCTGCCAGAAAGACAAATGAATGGATTCTAGATTAAATCAAACTTGAACTCTCACAAGAAGCTACAATGACTAGGTAGTAGGAAAAGAGGAAGTTCTAACATACCTGAATGGACTCAATAAAGACCCAGTGCTAGAGCAGGCCTGGAGGTCATTAATTCATAGGGTTAATGTAAGTTGGAAATGACTTGCAAGCATACAACAACAAGAATTTTGGAACAGATATTTCATCTGTCCAACAGATCTCTGGTGTGTCATTCACTGTGAGGGTCATTCTCATGTGGTTAGGTTACCTCCTTCCACAAGCAGCCTTTCAATTTCCATGGTATTTCAGCTGCTTTAAACAAATTTGTCTTGGCATTTCCTTATGGGTTTGTATTACGTTCTTAGTCTACCCTCTTTCTAGAATAGCTGCTTATTGCTGTAATCTGGCATGAAAGCTACATGAAATAATCTTTTATTCCGCGGTATTGGAACACAAGTTCTGTTAAGCAGGTGCAAAATGGACTCCTGATGATGGAAAAAGGGAATGGCAAAGCAAGTAATTAGATAAATACAGACACTGTAATTAAAAGCTAGGGCGTATTTAACTTAATCCAAACTAGATGGGCTCAGTCTACAGAGCCTGACAAACAGAGACAAAGGCGGAATTCCTCTTGGCTCCTCTACAATCAAAAGCTCCAGTGTCTGAAAGAAGGATTAGTTTTCTTCCTGGTACAACTAGATTGTATAAGGAAAAAAAAATACATTTTCCCCAAAGCTTACCATTTATAAACCAATATCCTTTTCTGTCCTTATAAAATCACAGTATTTATTGAAATTAACATACAACAATACATGCAACAAACAGTCTTGGGGCATCTTAATGGCTAACAGGTTTTTTATTTCGAATAGGTTTACGTGGCTTCATAAGATGTATTAAATCTAATGAGCTGCATTCTGCGAAACAAGCGGAATTCAGTTTGCTAGTCTTTAAGGTGCTATATGACTCTTGCTTTTGCTGAAACAAACTAGCATGACGACCCCCTGGAAATCATGCCAATACACATACAGTGGTGCCTCGCATAGCGAGGTTAATCCGTTCCGGATTAACCTTTGCTATGCTGAAGCATCGCTGAACGGGGCAGGGATTTCCATTGGAACGTTCCAAATGGGCCAAATACTCACCGTTCAGCGAAGCTTCAGGATGGCCGGCAGCCATTTTCGCGCCCTCGCCTCGCTTAACGAGGGCGTGAAAACGCTGCGCGCGGCCATTTTGGGCCATTTCCCGGCTTCCTATGCCAATACACATAGTTCATTCTTCCCAACATAAAACAATGGAATTCTTTGTCTCATGGAGAAATTTATCCAGTTATACAGTTGGAAGCTCTACTCAGTCAAATGAAGTTAAATGCTAGGTAAATGGATAGACTTGCAGGTTAATTCAAACCAACTTCCCTCTCTCCACCCTATGAACATGATCAGTAAGTTGGTTTACAGCAGTGGTCCTCAATCTTGGGCCTCCAGATGTTCTTGGACTACAACTCCCAGAAGCCTTCACCACCATCTCTGCTGGCTAGGATTTCTGGGAGTTGAAGTCCAAGAACATCTGGAGGCCCAAGGTTGGGGACCACTGGTTTCCAGGATTATGAAACTAGTAAGAAGTCTATGTGGTCTTTGGTACCTAAAATGGGAGGAAAAAAAAACAAGTAAGCATGCTCAGATGTTAAGACTGCACCTAACTAAATATAAACAAGCTCTCTTCTCTTGCAAAGAAGCAACATGTGCATATGTCTTCATATGTGCATCCAAGTGATTCAGGCTTTCCTAACCTACTGCCCTTCAGATGTAGTCGACTACAACTCTTGCACAAATGGAGGGCAGCAGACTGAAGAAGGCATATATGTATATGTGTATATACTCTATACAGAGCTCATTGCAGGTGCTTGGTTGCATGATGAAAACAAAAAAAATAATCTGACGTTACACTGAAGACAATATGGACGGAATTTAATATTGACCATTTAAACTGGGAAACTGTCACTTGAGATAAAACATCTTCTGAAATGTTGTCCGACAAGAGGCTGGAAATGTTTATATAAAAACATCTCCCATGTTCTCATCTCTTCTGGGCTCCTATTGGGCTACATGCCATATTTTTAGTGTACACGATACCCCAATGTTTAAAACGACCCCCTAAATTTTGACTCTTGATGGAGGCGGAGGAGCAGTTAATGGGCAACTGCTCCTCCACCACTGTCTCCTCCTGCTGCTGCTGCCTCCGCTACCCGCCCGAGCACTTCCTCCAGTGCAACTGTTGGGGCTCACCTCCAGCTCATGTCGCTGCCTTGTCCCCTGCCCTAAGGAGATCATGGGAGGAGGTGGCGGCAGCAGGAAGAGGTGCCTGAGTGCGCGTAAGTGCTTGCTTGCGTCTATCTCTGCCTCCTCCTGCTTCCATCACTGGAGGGGACAAGGCGGGCAACATGAGCTAAGCCTGTCAGTCCCACTGGAGGTGGTGATTGGGCAGGCGGGGGAGGGAGCAGCAAGAGGCGCCTAAGCGCGTGTGAATGCTCCTTTGCCTCTGTTTCCTCCTCCTCCTGCTGCCGTCTCAGCCACCGGCGGGGAGAAGCCGTGAGGTGGTGGCGGTAGCAAGAGGCACCTGAGTGCGCATGCGACTGCCTCCTTCCGTGTATAAAACGACCCTCAAATTTTCCTCTAATTATTTTAGGGAAAAGTGTCATTTTATACACAGAAAAATACCGTAGTCACCTGCATGTTCATTAATGTGATACTGTTAAAACTTAACTACTCAATTCCTGCCCTTTCTGAATGGTGACTATCATGGAAATGGTCTAAGACAAACTATAAATGAGTATTTCTCACCTGATGAGACTGGAGATAATATGAAGTTCCAAAGGAAGGCCTTGAAGCAAAATCTGTTTCAACGGCATCTAGTTTATACACATATTCTGGAACACTGTTTGTCCGATGCAGGCTTCCTGTAAAGAGACATGAGAAAGAGATCTCAACAAAACATATTCTAAAATCTCAGCTATTGAGTTATAATAATTATGCAAGCAAAATGAGGCCAAATAGGTCTTAGAATAGCCCAAGGCTTGAGGAAACAAGGACAAAATTTACCTTTTCAAAACAAATCTAACAGAGACTAGTCCCCCCTTTCCATTCAGAACAGCAAGGATGATGGCCAAGTCTTTGGGTCTGAGTCCCAACTCCCAAGTTCTAAGTCCCAAGTCCCTTTGGTACCAGGTTCTAAGTCCCAAGTCCCTATAGAAAGCAAGCTTCTTCCCCACAGAAAAAAGGAAAGGGTGGATGGGTTCCGAGTCACAAGGCGAGCCCAAGCCATTGATAAAAAAACCCAAGTCGGTCCTGAGTTGAGTTATTGGTGAGACTCAAGTCGAACTTGACAGCAAGTCCCAGGACTCCTCATCCTTGTAGAACAGCCGACCTGACTTTAAAAAGCAAACAAAATGGAGGTGCCAAGCATCGCAAAATGTGTGAAAAACATGATTACTGATCTCTGTGGATCCCTCCTATCCCTAAAGAAACTCTGAACAGTATTTTAGTACTGTAGTAACTGCAAAATAGTACTGTAGTATTGTAGTAACTGCAAAGTAGTACTGTAGTATTGTAGTAACTGCAGAGGTCAAGGACAACACCTGTTCCCTGTGATGGTTTCTCTCCAAACATGCCATTCCTTCCAAGCACAACCAAACTTGCGAATACACCCCATGTTTAATTCCTGATGAATCAAAAAACAAAAACAAGCTAATTTGTAAAATGTTAAGTGAGTTAATCTTGCTCTAGATCTCTCATATGTCTTTTACAACTTCTGAGAGTTGTGATGCTAGTGCAATACCATCTAGTTTGGGCCTAAGTTAGGAAAGACTGAGTAACGCTACATGGTGAATTTCACATTTCAGCATAGCTTGAAAACAAGTCTTCCTACTAGGAAATGGAAAATGGGTCTATCTCAATCTTGACTGGTTCCCAACTTTTCACTATTAAGTGTGATTCATCTTGCTTCTTCTTCAGATAGGAAATTATTATTTTTCCAGTTCACATAAACAAATATATACATCTTTGTATGTGTTTTTAAACATTTTGAGTGATTTTTAAGAATGCATTTTCCAATTGAAGAAAGTGTTTCTGCATTTTCCAGAATATATACTTTTCTGCACACTTTTTCAAATATGTGAGTCACATGACACCCCCCCACACACTTTTTTGGGGGCTGCCCTGCATCTCAAACTTCAGAAAAAATACAGATTTTGTGATATATATCTTTCCAGCTTGTGTTCAGGTTCAAGGAATGTGACTTTAGCAAAACTGCCCTGGAGCGCAAATTCATTTTTTTCACACATCTCTATCCAAGTCTAAAACTTTTTTCACTCCATCACATGCTGATGTTTTTCTTCAGCCGGTATACCTTTGCTGGATACTTCTGGTTTGGGTTCACCTTGCTCAAGCAATGAGAAGTCATACATAGGCTTTTTAAAGAGCCAGGTTATTCCAAAAGAAAGCACACAGAATCTCTTCAGTACTGCATTTCCCAAAGCTCTGACAGTCAAGTTAAAACTGGAGGCATTGTGTAATTAGAGAACAAAACAGCAACTAATATATTTAAGCCTTCATACATAATGAAGCCTTGGAATTCATGGTACTAATTCTTGCACATACAATTGTAATTAGAACTTGAAAACTAATAGTTGTTTTGAATTACTATCTCAGTGAGCAAGGAATATTAATTTTGTTGCTCTATAGCTTTACAATTTAATTGTGCAGGCCACACATTCCCTACCCCTACTCCATGAGCTGGGTATTAAATTTACTAATCTCATAAGGATGGAAGGCTTCAGTCAATCTTGAGCCAACTATCTGAATCTGTTGGGATCGAACTCAGGTTGTAAGCAGAGCTTTGACAGCAGTACTGAAGTTTAACCACTGAGCCACAAGGTTAAAAAATAAGTAGATTTCTTGAAGCATTTTAAATTCTAGTAGAGACAGCTATAAGATGCTGGAAGATGAGCCCTTCAGGTTGGAAGGCGTCCAACATGCTACTGAGGAAGAGCGGAGGACAAGTACAAGAAGCTCCAGTGCTAATGAAGTGGTTGGGCCAAAGCCAAAAGGACGCTCAGCTGCAGACGTGCATGGAAGTGAAAGGAAAGTCCGATGCTGCAAAGAAGAATACTGCATAGGAACCTGGAATGTAAGATCTATGAACCTCGGGAAGCTGGAGGTGGTCAAACAGGAGATGGCAAGAATAAACATCGACATCCTGGGCATCAGCGAACTAAAATGGACAGGAATGGGCGAATTCAGCTCAGATGATTATCATATCTACTATTGTGGGCAAGAATCCCGTAGAAGGAATGGAGTAGCCCTCATAGTAAACAAAAAAGTGGGAAAAGCTGTAGTGGGATACAATCTCAAAAATGATAGAATGATTTCATACGAATTCAAGGCAGACCTTTCAACATCACAGTAATCCAGGTTTATACACCAACCACCAATGCTGAGGGGAATGAAACTGACCAATTTTATGAAGACTTACAACACCTTCTAGAACAGACACCAAAGAAAGATGTTCTTCTCATTATAGGGGATTGGAATGCTAAAGTAGGGAGTCAAGAAATAAAAGGAACAACAAGGAAGTTTGGCCTTGGAGTTCAGAACGAAGCAGGACAAAGGCTAATAGAGTTTTGTCAAGAGAACAAGCTGGTCATCACAAACACTCTTTTCCAACAACACAAGAGGCGACTCTATACATGGAAATCACCAGATGGGCAATATCGAAATCAGATTGATTATATTCTCTGCAGCCAAAGATGGAGAAGCTCTATACAGTCAGCAAAAACAAGACCTGGAGCTGACTGCGCTTCTGATCATCAGCTTCTCATAGCAAAATTAAAGATTAGACTGAAGAGATTAGGAAAAACCACTGGGCCACTCAGGTATAATCTAAACCAAATCCCTTATGAATACACAGTGGAAGTAAAGAACAGATTTAAGGAACTAGATTTGGTGGACAGAATGCCTGAAGAACTTTGGATAGAGGCTCGTAACATTGTCCAGGAGGCAGCAACAAAAACCATCCCAAAGAAAAGGAAATGCAAGAAAGCAAAGTGGCTGTCCAACGAGGCCTTAGAAATAGCAGAGAGGAGAAGGGAAGCAAAATGCAAGGGAGATAGGGAAAGTTACAGAAACTTGAATGCAGACTTCCAAAGAATAGCAAGGAGAGACAAGAGGGCCTTCTTAAATGAACAATGCAAAGAAATAGAGGAAGATAACAGAAAAGGAAAGACCAGAGATCTGTTCAGGAAAATTGGACATATTAGAGGAACATTTTGCGCAAAGATGAACATGATAAAAGACAAAAATGGGAAGGAATCCATGCGAAAAACCCACAACAACCATCAGATCCTGGCCCTGAAAGCCTTCGAGAATACAGTGGTGCCTCGCTTAACGGGCGCCCCATTTAACGACGCATCCGGATAGCAATTAAGTTTTGCGATCGCAAAAGCGATCGCATTGCGATGATTTAGATAGTAAAAAATCGCTTTGCGATGATTGGTAAGCTGTTTCGCTTACCGATTTTCGCATAGCGATGTTTTACTAACAGCTGATCGGCGGTTCCAAAATGACCACTGGGCAAAAAAATGGCCGCCCTCTGTTTTTGCGCCAATTCCTTGCTTATCGGGCAGCAAAAATGGTGGCCGTATGGAGGATTTTCGCATAACAGTGAGTTGTTTGCCCATAGGAATGCATTAAACAGGTTTTAATGCATTCCTATGGGCTTTTTTATTTCGCATAGTGACGAATCTGTATAGCGACGATTCTGGTGTATGGATCATCGTCACTATGCGGGGCACCACTGTACATATACCAGAAAGATTTGAATGTCCTGGACAACCTAGATAGTGTGGTTGGTGACCTTGCGCCAGACATCTTCGACAGCGAAGTCAAGTGGGCCTTAGAAAGCATGGCTAACAACAAGGCCTATAGAGGTGATGCCATTCCAGTGGAACTATTTAAAATCTTAAAAGATGACACTGTTAAGGTGCTACATTCAATATACCAGCAAGTTTGGAAAACCCAACAGTGGCCAGAGGACTGGAAAAGATCAGTCTACATCCCAATCCCAAAGAAGGGCAGTGCCAAAGAATGCTCCAACTACCATACAATTGCATTCATTTCACACGCTAGCAAGGTTATGCTCAAAATCCTCCAAGGTAGGCTTCAGCAGTATGTGGACCTTGAGGAGACTCTGGAGAGTGCAAAGAGGAACAAACCTATCCATTTTGAAGGAAATCAATCCTGAGTGCTCACTGAAAGGACAGATCTTGAAGCTGATGCTCCAGTACTTTAGCAATCTCATGAGAGGAGAAGACACCCTGGAAAAGACCATGATGCTGGGAAAGTGTGAAGGCAAGAGAAGAAGGGGATGACAGAGGATGAGATGGTTGGACAGTGTCTGTGAAGCAACCAACATGAATTTGACCAATCTCTGGGAGGCAGTGGAAGACAGGAGGGCCTGGCATGCTCTGGTCCATGGGGTCATGAAGAGTCGGACACGACTTAACGACTAAACAACAACAGACAGTTATTATACATATTTAAGTTGATTTAACCCAGACCTGGACAAAGTGCGGCCCAGGGGCCACATACAGCCCGTGAGCCACTCCTGTCCCGCCCGCGGACAGTTTTGAACATCAAAACCATTTATAGCTTTTTTGTCTAAAGTTGATCAGCTTCTTATCTTTAACATGCCGCAAAAACCTCTTTAGTATTTGTGAAGATTAACAAGTTTAAAATAAAAACAATCATAACATCACTGTTTCATTTTATTTTTAAGTAAAGTTGGTTCAGCCCCCGAACACAGTTCAGATTTTTCATGTGCCCCCCTTATAGAAATTAATTGCCCACCCCTGAATTTCAACCCCTTTTCTTTTTTTAAATGAAAATCACATAATCTCACATG